AAAAAAAAAAAAAAAGTTAGTAAAAACCAACTTTCTAGAACTTTAGGATAAAAGCTTATAATTATTTGACTTATAAACTCTTCGATGTTTACTATGTGTGTAAAAATTTGACTTTGACTTATGAACTCTTGTTGACTAACTTATAAACTTAAATCAAACACTCTTTAATTGTAGATTAAGTTAAATTTATCTAAATTAGGTGATCTAATCAGTGATTTTTCTTGTTTTTTAACTTCAAACACCACCGAATAAAACTTGGTAATTACAATTTTATTATAACCCTATTTTATTTTCTTATCAAATTGAAATTTAGTTTAGAAAAAAAAAACATATAATTAAGAGAAATGATAAGGTAATTAAATATGATAATTACTCCACCCATTATTAATTACTTGATTAAATTATATCCTAATCAAACAATATTACATCACCCATTACGGAGGGCACGTATTTTAATTAGAGAGAGATTAATTTATATTGTATAACAATTTTAAAATATAATAATAATAACAACAACATGAATTCAAATTTTATTAATTAATACTGAATAAATAATAATAATAATTATTATTATTATTTATAAAATAATTTTTTAAAAAAAAATTGATTTAATTATTAAATTAAATTCAGTTTGTGTACTGTACGTATCATATGTGTATATAATTTTAATAGAATTAAATTCCTACCACCTCCCACACACAGCTGGTGCTTGTTATTGTTTTGTCGGCTCTCTCCGGGATATATGGAGGCAGCCCCACACGTTCATAATGATAAAAAAATACAAGTAATGAAAATAATGCTCTTAACAAAAAAAGATTACGTGAAATATTTATTATATGTATGTTAAATTTAACATATATATATATATATATATTCCCACACACTCACACACACAATTACATACACAACTTATAATATATATATATATTTTAGTAGTTTCTATAATTGGGGATTTCTACATTATTGAAAAATATTTTGAACTATGACGGAATTCTTTGAATTATTTGTCGTTTTATAAAGTTTTTAAGTTAATATGAGTTCGATTTATTTTGTTCGTATTAATAAAATGTTTTAAAATAATATTTTGACTGATTAACTATTTTAACGGGTTAATTAATAATAAAAAAATAAGTAGATTTAGTGTTGTTATATATAATTTTTAATATATATATATATATTTAGTGGAAGGGAAGATACCAACAAAATAATTTTATTGACTAGGAAAAAATGTTTTTTTGATCTTATATATATATATATATATATATATAAATAGAGAAGAATCACAATTAAAATAACAAACATGTTATCTTACTGTGAAATTCAAGAAATAGAGATTCTTTTACACTTGCAGCTGGCAGTGTACGTACAAAGTAGGCACCATATATATATATATGTATATGTGTGTGTGTGTGTGTGTGTGTGTGTGTGTATGTATAGGTTTTTGAGTCAAGTCAACAACGAATAATATAAGTTGTATAAACAACTACGTGCACTTTCTTCTAACTTACTTACACCTCTCTCTTTCTGTCATCGTCACTCCCTGAGATGCTCCTTTCAAACCTTCCATGAATGCTTCACCACCATCTTTAAATCTTTCTTTTACTAAATTTTCAATTTGATCCATCTGGTTTCAGATCTTTTAATTCAAAACTTCATATATGTATGTATGTATATATATATATATATATGTATGTATGTATATATATATGTGTATATATATATATATTCTTTGATGTAGAAACAGACACCCAAAGGGAAGACTTTTGTGTCCCCAAGCATTGGAAGTATTGCATATGAAATTCCAATCCTCGCATCACTTTCTCACTTCACAATCTGATACACAACTAGTCAACTATCTACGATTTCAGCCGCACACAAATCTAGAATATACAGTAATTATATATATATATATATATATATACACACATATACATATTGACTTAGAAAATATGATAAACACAATCAATTATAATATAACAATTACATAGTACATTATTATATAAAAAAAGTTTGTTTCAAGAATCCTAAATAGAGTTAAAATAATATATATATATATATATATACATGTATTAATGTCAATTTTTAGTTCATACATAACCTTTCAAATCTTCTTGTTTTCTTTTATCATTAATTTAATATTTTATTTTTCAAACATATATGATTTATTTTTCTTACTATCTTGTGAGTATTGTGGAAATAAATTGTAAAAGTTAGAAATTTTAAGGGAAGAAATATATATTAAAATAGTGGACACAGATAATAATTAGAGTTTACATTCTTTACATAATAAATTGAAATTGTAATATCCGGACCCGAAAATTGAGTCGGGATAATTTTAGGAATTATGAATATATATATATATAATAATTATTAAAAAAATGTTATTTTATTTTAATTCGATTGAATTTTAGAGAAAAAATAAATTAGGAACAAAATTAAAAATAATTTCGAGAAGAATACGTAAAAATTTGAGTTCGGATGGTATTTTTGAAAGAAAAATTAAAAACAGGAGGTCAAAGTGCAAATAAAAAAATTACTGGTACCTCTCGATTTAGTAAGAGTCTTACTCTCTTCATATCCTTATATCTGCATTTCACAAAAGAATGTTGAGTATCAGGTTGTATTTTAATATTTTTAAATCTTTGTGTAAGATCGGTTAATTGAAAATTTTGAATATTGGGTTCACGCATAGGAATTACATCTCTATAAACTCCTAGAGGTACCAGTAAACAGATAAAAAAAAAAAGTTACTGTTCTTGCTTACTTGTATATGAATTTATAATGTTATTTGAGTTATTGTTTTCATATGTCGATTTTGAAAACTTATAATGATAAGTATGAAATAAACGATTTTATGTTAAATGAATTTACCTAAACTAATGACTCTATTAGTTATTTCATAATTTTTACCAACATTCGGTTGTCCGTATCAATGATTAGTGTGACATTCTTATCAGACTAGTATAACTCATCTCTCTTATTTAATCATTTCAGATCAATAAAATCAAGATCTATATCCTCAACAGCAGGAAGGTCGAGAGTAAAGGTTACCTCGGGGACTTCATCTGAATTTTCAGTGGAGGTTAATCTCATACAATTTTAGTTTCATTTTTGTTTATATTATTTTAATTTCTTTAAAATAGATATTTTCGTAGTTCTATTGGGCATATCAATTTACTGTATAATTCCGTTATTTTAATATATGAATATTCATTCCCTTAAGGTTTCGAGCCTTTATATAAATAAATTGAAGAATTATTGAAATTAAGAAAGAGGGTGTTGATAAAGTTAACGCCTTGATGGATACGAGTTAGTACTCTCTTGATCTTTACAATCATTAAATACGTATTATACTTTTCATTTTAAAAAATTTAATATTTTATTTTTATAATAAATTTATATTTTAAAAAAAATTGAATAAGAGAGAGAAAAGGTTGTCATGGTAATAAATAAGAAGATAGTCTTATGGTTGACTTGGGTTTGTAGTTGATGATGTTAGGTGGTGAAGAAGAAGGAAAAACTAATTAACCTAATACATTTTATTACATTAATATATAATAATTTAAGTAAATAATTAAGGGTAATATATGTAACAACCCCGAAAATTTAAAATGGAATGTATATTAAAAATATCAAATGCGGAAGCGAAGTCAAAAATTCGATTAACATCCCTTACACTAAAACCAAAAACGTGCTCACAATATAAAAGATCAAACTACCTAAAGGAGAAACTTTAAAGTAAAAGCTACGAATATGACTATGGAGTCTTTAGGCGTCCCCTTCGTCGTCCTCATGCGGAACCGGCTCGGGAACAATGTCTTCCTGATCTGAAATGATTAAATAAGGAATGAGCTACACTAGCCCAGTAAAGACTCACGATATCTCACCGTCACGGAGGTAAAGGTGGGTAAAAAACACAAAAAGACCAATGGAGCATAATTTACAACAAATCCTTTTATCAATAATAAAACATTTACCATTCACTTACCTCGGTGAAATTCACAAAACAATATATGAAAGTAATAACATCATCATCATCATGAAATCATATATAAACTGTATAACATAATACTTATCAAGCCTTTCGTAATTCAATCGTTACACAATATATTTTCCTCATTTACCAGCCCACTAGTATCCATGGGGATCCATAGGGGTCCCGCTACCCGTTAACCCTCAACACTTGAAATCATATTCCAGGGTCGTCCCCATACCCCGTCCGGTATGAGCGCCAAAACTATAAACCTCATTACCCCGTCCGGTATGAGGGTGAAACGGGCCGTCCCCATACCCCGTCCGGTATGGGCGCCAAAACACATAAGATCTCCATACCCCGTCCGGTATGGGAGACCACAATCCCGGTAGGGTTCCCTACGGACCCGGTCCGTCCACCATCTCCCAAGATATCTAGTCAGGTTGACCACATTATACGATTACCCATTTACATAATCTTTCATTCTCTTTTTCCTCAGTCAGCATCATCAATCCACATACAAACAAGCAAAACGGTAATTTATGCCAAACAGACAACATACAGCATCAATATTCAGTCATTCAATCCATAATCAATAAAACAGTAAAATATGCACACGAAACTATAAAATG